CTAAATTAGGGACGGCTAGCGCAGATAGCCCTCGCGTAGCTTTGCGCGAAATTCACAAACAAACAAGATATTTAACTTTCACGGTAGTTAATTGCAAATTATCTAAATGTATAGCGAAAAAAACTCTTAATATAAACTAAATTGTCAGGCTCTTCTTGTTTGAATCCATTTGTATTATTTAAGGTTTCAATCTCAACTAAATAACAAAACTTTCATTTAATGAAGTTAGAGAATTAAGTTAAAGAAACCAGCCGATAGCAACGTACATATACATGACGTTTATATAGATGTTAAATTACAGTGAGACGTTTTTAAAATCAATATTGTAATGATTTATCATCACGAACACAACTCTACAACTTGGAAGAATATATAACTTTTGTATATACGAGAAACTTTTCAACTTCTTCATAGATGGATGCCCCCTATAACACGATGAGAACCTGCGATTACACATCTGTTACACAATGAGAAAGAGAAAGGTGAAATAATGAGTCAACAGTATATCGTTTTGTGTATACTAACCACTCAACTGCATGGGGGTAAGCATCTTTTTCATAAATAGATCTCCGTTTAATTAACGTTTATTAGCATGCAGGATTACAGCAGGACCAGGATGTTTCAGATTTGAATAGCTAGCTTCGACACTCTCACTGTTGCTGAGAGGTGAACGTTTCTTTGTCATAGAGATCGTTTCCAGAGACAAACTAGAAACCGCATATAAGAGTTACTGTTCGAAGTTTCATTCTCTTTTATCCAATGTTAAGTAAACAATGCAAGTATGTTATTAATTTCAACTTCTCCGTATCTATTTCATTTCAACAGAGATAGTTACTCTTCTTATTGTCAGCTGTCACCTTCAATTCAAAGCTTTCCAGTCACTATCAAAGTATTAAGTAAAAATTGTAATTCCATTCAAATTATTTGTCTGTTCATTCATTTAACCATTTCTATATGATGTTATTTGACGGTTGTGGGCAACCTGACTTTCCTGTGTGATATTGTGTTACAAGGAAAGTATCACGAGTCTTCTACCTCCTTAGTTAAGATGTAAGTATTTTCAGTTACAAGTTTGAAAGCAGAAATTCGTTCAAGTAGACACTTCCTCTTGTATTGATGTGTACAAGATGTGAGTTCACTACTTGTTAATTACCGAAGTTTCTTGCAGGAAAGATAGCGCAAGATGTCTAGAAATAGAGTTATATTCTCTGTCGAAAATTGGATAAAGGTCGGGGCAGCAGCCACGCCCCAAAACTCGACTCACAGTGACCATTGATTATGGATTCAAGGTGCGTTCGTTGTTCAAACTTAACTTTATCACTGTATAGAAATTTTGTATATAAAACCGGGTTTGTCCCTGTAAGACGGAGCTAGCGTTAGAGTTAGAGAAATTATTAATAGGCTTTAGAATGTCTTAAATCCCTTCTTGCACCTTTTAGTAAACTTGTAGTATGGATATAACTATAAACTTGATTTAACTTTTGATCTAAACCATTGTACGTTTTGCAAGAATAGCTTTAGTGACTTTAATGCGATTTGGAGTTTTGTCCATTCACAACAAATTCTGTGTTAACGTTTAAGTGAGCATTCATAGTTTGTGTTGTAAGAATACCTTAATTAAAGTAAACTTTTAGGAGAACTTTTATTTAATTTGAGTTGTTATTTGATTTAACTTTGTGTAACAGTAACGTTTAAACTGGAGTTTCGGTTCTGATTAATTGTTTCATTTTCATCTTAAGTTTAAAAGTTTTAACTTACAGGGGAAACACACTGAGTTGATAACAGCTTTGTAATATAGTTTTTACATTACTATTATCAGTTGTATGTGCACCACTAGACTTTGTTTTGTTTTGTTTCTGCGATTGGATTGTTATTTTGTGTAAATAAACACCTGTCGTTCATGTGTCTAGCAATGTCGAGTTTTTCTTCTAGATGATCCAGGTTGGAGATCTGGGGAAGTCAGTTACACTTTGTAGTCCAGTAGCTTTTGAACCTTTAATTAGAATGCCCTAACTAACTGCTCTGCGGGAAAATCATTGCATGGGAAATACCGCAATATTCATTTCCAGGAATGCCACAGTGTGACCAGTGTCAACTGATATTTTGGGGCTGTGACCAAAAGCTTATGTGTTAAATGTTGAATTCAAATACCGGTTAAGTAATATCCTGGTTAAATCTGCGTGTCTTGTTAAATTAATTGATATATATTTTCTTTTCATTGCAGATTAAAATGACAAAACTACATCTTTCTCGTGGAGAAGGATATATATAAGAGAAAAGAGGCACATGCTGATCAAGGGCCACAGTTGGGTGCAGTGACAAATATACACTAGAACTTAGATTCGGATAAGAAAAACTTTCAACGCTTTTCTAAGATCGCAAGATGAGGGATTTTTTCATGATTACCAGAAATATTTAGCCATTTCAGACTAGTAAGTGTGATGAGGAAATAGACATCATATTTCACTACCCTATACAAGAAGTGGTGCAGAAACACATATAAATCCACTAACTTTAAACATATCAGCTAATTTAAAATAGCTGACCACAGGTTAAATTTGACTGTAAATTTAGAAGAAAATAGTGAACATGCTACATCGAATAAAGTGGTGGTCAACTCAGCTTATACATGCTCAGATACAGTTTGATTAGTGTTTTAGCTTATGTAGGTCCAGTGTCAACTTTAAAATAGTGCCTAGCTTAACTTCATTCCAATCTTAAGCAAAACACAAGCTTTATGTACTTGTTTTAAGATCTGTATAAAGTTAGACTTCAGAAGGCTGTTCTGTAAGACATGGAGACTTTCGGCAACTTATTATTTTTTGTATTTTTCCGATTAATCATCAAGTTTCTATTTCTCATTAAGCCTACAGGTCTCCCGCCAATTCCCAGAAATCCAGTAGATAGCATAATTTATAACTGGGAAAGATGAACAGTGGGCTATCTATCATGTCAAAATTACACAAAAACCTTCTCGTGAATACAAAACGTTTAAATATGTACGTGAATACTAAGTTATAAATCTTAGTATGTAAATTTAAACGATTTAAGTTTATTTATCATCAAATATAATTTGTCAGCTTTCTAGCTTTAATACAAATTCATGTCCTATTTAATGATGACTTTAGGTCATTTTATTTTTCCTTACCACTTGTGACGTAGAAAGTTTCGTGGATGAAAAAACAAACAAAAAACGTTTAGTGAAAAACGATAGACAGATTTGTTTCTGTCATAAATAAATGTATAAGAGTCTCTTCCAAAAAGTAATACGAGATGATTATAGCTGTTAAATATCATTTATAAGTACTTTTTAAGCCATATATATGATCCCAGCCAACTCACATGTATGTTTCACTAATGAGACTTCTAGTTTGTTCTGAGAAAATACACGCCATCTGTGACGTTCTTCACGTCGTGATCGTGTGAGATATTTGTCTTACTAAAAGAACTAACTGGGTAATGATTCAAATTAAAATAAATGATTTAAAAATGTATTATGTTATATGACTAATGCTGCTAATTAAGGAATAAAGTTGACCTTATAGAATCTCTTTCCAAGTTCTTAAAAATATACATAATGAATACACACAGAGTTATGTAGTGGAACTAATCAAGTCACGTTTTACAGCAATATTCTGTAGCGCCTTCAAAATGTTTTAGAATTTCTGTTACAGTCTCTAAGGGTATTACACTATAAATCTGAATAGCCGCGAGAAAAGTAATTTCATCTATTTCTATGCCTTTTTACACTGTAATTACCTTTTGATATAGTTAGAAGTTTGTTATAAAAACAATTTAAGTAAACTCAGTTTATCGTGGCATGGTTTAATGAAACAATATTTATTTTTGTTTTAAACTATTTGAAACGTTTTCGGGGAATGTTTTTGCGATCTTGAACAATTACAAATATTGAAAATAATTAATTACAGTTTGGTTTAACAACCTGAGTCTTTTTGTAATTCTTATTACTTAAAGTAAATGATTTCCTACACTCAAATCTCAGTACTGTTAGATAGCCTTAGAAAAATGAAATTACATAACACCAACTAAAATAAAAGCATAGTAAACTGGATTTGAAAAAGGCCTGGAAATTATGAAAATGTCTATTTTATGTTACAGAAAGAATTAATTGGAGAACTTTATTTATCATCAGTAGTCTCAAAGCAAAATTAAAATAATATACTATTTCTTGTGAGATATAGTCAAATTTATCTCTAAAGACTGTCTTACTGAAAGGATTTTTGGTTGTTCTTAAGCACGAAGCTACACTGTGAGCTATCTGTACTGTGCCCGACATGAGTATCAAAACCAGATTTTTAGCATTATAAACTCCCAGACTTACCACTGAGTCGCTGGGGTGGGGGAATTTGATGTTAAGCGCAAAGCTATACAAATGGGCTATCTGTGCTCTGGCCATCGCGGATATAGAACTCAAGATTTTAGTGTTGAAAATTCGTAAACTTACCGGTAGATTGTAGTTACGTATCTATCCAGGTTTTCTGTAGCCCTGGTGCAGAAACTTATGATTGGACTCCTTAAATTTTAGTTTAGTTGTACGGGAAATGAAAAGAAAAAGACAGTCTATTCAAAAAATTAAGTACAGAATAGATCAAAAACAAGAATTCTATATTACATGAAAAATATGAATATTGGACGTTTTTGAAGGCCCTAGAGCAGTGTGCACATTGCACCATCTCTAGCGCAGGTACTGCTATCTAACTGTCTACCTATACAGAACCATCCTGAGATAACTACAGTATTAAATGAGTTATTGTTAGAAGGAGGAATTTCTATCAATCTGTTATCAAAAATCATGATGGAAAATGCGTTATCTGGTTCAGTTGAAGCACTAGTTTTAAACTACTGTGTTACACCTCTAGTCCTTCAATTCGTAGGACAGATTTAATTTTCTAGATCAAATAATCAAATAAATGTTGATTTTTGCATGCATGGTGTTCATAAAGCAGAAGAGCTAGGCCTTTAATACGGTTGTTTGAAGTCAGTACCACAATCGAATCAGACAACATTTTTGAAGTTTGATTTATATATGCATATAAAGGGAAAATTATCTTTCTAATGATACCTCATTCAATGCTGAAGCTGTTCTAGTTGCGTCAGAATGTTTCATCTTATTAAGGTTCTTAAGTATACTTTGATTCAATTTAAAACACAACATTAACTGCTTAACCTTTCTCCTTTCCAGCGATTTGGTTTAAGTAACTATACTCATCTGATTTATTGTAAGTTTACTTCTGTCAACACCCAAAACGTAGTCAAGTAAAGGAAAACATATTGAAAATCGACTATTCGTAGATTTAGTTTACATACCCACCTACCTTTCCCCATGCTCCACCGTGTGTTAGGTTAGAGCTACAACACACAAAAGTTGTCACCTCAGTGGTTACGAAGGTTCAGGTTTTGACTCCACAGACAGATAAAGTAACACATTTTTTTATCTTCAACTCCCCTAGTGAATATCTGTGTCGACGACAATCAATTTTAATAATCTTGTTGAGCCTTTGGGATTGCGGGAGTGTTTAATCCACCACCTGCATTCCGCGTGGCTGTTACAGTCATTAATCCTCACTATCATAATGATCGCCGTTGCCAAACAACACCCACAACGGGACGCCTCGTTAATTGCCGGCCACATTATAACTTTCAAGAAACTTACAGTTTTTACACTGACAACCATAGCATATTATTCAGTTCGGGCAAATAAGGGTTATTCCAATTGGCGACGAAGCAATGTATTATTAAATAACGTTAAAAATGGTATATAAAGAAGCTCAGGTAATTCGGTTCTTCATTCTTGCACGTATCCGATGTGTTGTTTTCTTTATATATAACGTATACACACGTCTGGATCGCTCGGTGATGTCCGGTCTTATCTACTGTATTTCGGTAAGAAAGAAAATTAAAACGTCCTCATCTCAAATACATTTACCACTATCTTGCTTTTAAACTATTCTTTGCATCTGATACAAAACGTTATTTTTAAGTGTTTCAGGTGGGTGTTTAAATCCAGAAAAACAGGCTGTCAGCACGCCCTACACGGACATCGGTGTGTAGTTACCTCAGGGATCATATTTTTAACAGCAATCTGAATGAATTCACGCAGTAATCACGGAATTGTCTAGAAAAAAAGGTGTCCACACTTAAATTTAGGTAATTCAATGTAACTTTAATTACTTGAAGAGTAAAAAAATATGTCTACTTTAGCAATGAGGTAATTCAATGTAACTTTAATTATTGGAACAGTAACATAATATATTTTCACAATAATATATTTTAACAAGAAATTCCTAGCTATTTTAATTTCGAATAGAAAAAAATTATGATAATCGCTCATATTGTGTTGTTGGCTCTATATACAAAGCGTTTAATTTGTGGGAGGGTTCTCCTTGGCTTTACGAATAACATATTCGTAAGAAATACGTTAAAACTGTGTGAGTCTCCAGCTTCAGCCATATCAAGAGACAGTCTTCTTATGGTAATACTGTGGAAGGCTCCAGCTTCAACTATACCAAGAAAGAGAATACAGTCTTCTTATGGCAGTGCTGAGGAAGGCTCCAGCTTCACTTATACCGTCTTCTTATTGTAGTACTGTGGAAGATTCTAGTTTCGGTCTACAAATGGTCAGGCGGGTATCTTTCGTTGTAGATTTGTGGAAAGTTCCAGATTAAAAATCGCCAAATCTCTGCCCCGTAGCTTCTCATGGTGGCTCTATGGAAGTTTTCAGTTTCAACCTATTAATAGTCAAGAGCAGCACCTTCTCAGTGTGAAAACCAAACAAGTATCTTCTAATGAAGGTATCGTGGAAGGCTCTTGATAACAATATATATCTATTGTTGTGTAAGCATTAATCGATTTGGTTTTTAATCTTCTGAACAAACAGATATTCATTTTCTTGTATATCTCTTAGTTTATCAGAATCAGGCTTTCATATTTTATAATACAGAGTGAGCATTTGAATCCGCTTTATCAGGACTCAAAAGCATATATTTACGACATATAATACACTATCTGTGACTATATAAACATGAAAGGAACCAGTTTTGTAATAGTGAAACACAGATCAGCATTTTCATAATTCCAGGCAGCCTTTAGTTTTTCTATGAAACTTTACCTGTAAGTGTGTTTTTCTGGATCCACTTCAACAATTTTGTTCTTACAGTAAACACATATTAATATTCAAATTCATTACTTTAGTTCAGTTTAAAAACAAATAGGAAGAAAATAAATTCAAATATCAGGCACTTTTTAAGACCAATTATGCTCTGATTCGTATTAAATTAGAGGAATTTTATACAATGTTTCATAAATGATACCCACTTATTAGAAACCTAACCTTTAATAACCTGTAGAAAGCTAACCCTTGATAAAGGCGTTAGTCGAAACGTCGGGTACATTAAAAGTTTTATTTAGCTGGAACTTGTGTTCGTATTTATTCTTATAATTATTTCTAGTCTCCAGTGTGCACTTAAGACATTTGAATTTAAGAAATAATTCCCACCTATTCCCAATAAACAGTAGTATATAAAACATTGAAAACTAACAAAGGAGGCTTTTATTTTCAAGTGAAAAATTAAACATTAAATGATTCTATTATTTTAATGTTACTTAAATATCAACTATGATGCAACACAATAATTTGATACACGTAAAATTTGTTACAGATTTCCTTAAGCCTAAGGTCAGCACAGATGTGCATTAGTTCTTCCTGGATTGTTATTAGATGTTACGTTAACATAAAATAGAAGTTTAGATAATAAATTTCACTGAAATTTATC